AACCAAACACGACAGATGCGCTCCCCACGAGCTTGCAACATGTATGCTAAGCCCTGGGCTTGCTCGAAGAATTCTGCAATATGTTTCCATGTTTGATGCCTTATTATAAATCGTTTGAAATAATTTATTGGAAATGAACTATATTATGGCTTTATAATATATACTCATACTAAAATTCAGTGGTTGGTGATAGTTAATCCTTTTTTCCCTTTAATTGTCACGTCTCGTCCTTTTCATTTTTATTCACTTCCTTTTTAAATTAAAGCAAATTAATTGCCTATATATCCTGAATTAACACTCTACACACATGATTATAGGAAAAATTCAGACATTGCAAACAAATTAATCTGTAAAGCCAATTTCTCAAATAGCGTGACAAAAATCGAAATATGTACCATCTGGTTTGAAATGGAACTGATGTAAATTGCCTATAAGTGGCCAAGTTGGTGGTCCTTGCACTTCACTAATTTGCTTCAATATGGATTTGAGCTTTTTGATGACAAAGTAAGCAATCCAAACGAGTAGCATTGTGACCAATGACGCGCTTATCAATCCCATCGTTGATTTCTGCAAAGTTCTNTAACGATATAATTAATTTTTAAATAAATGAAATGACGCAGATAAACCGAAAGAAGAAAATTACATTTTTCCTTACGAACACTCTTCAGAGTTCATTTACAAATGGATTTTATAAACTATATAACAATTTTAATTTAATATTGTTTTGCTAATAACAGAGGAGAAACGATGATAAGCGGAAATTTTGACGTAATTCTAAGATATTGGCAGGTTATTTTTGATCAGCGAAACTTCAAATATTGCCTGCTGTAACGACGGGAATATTTAAGTAATCCGGTTCGTTAAAAATTTATATGACAGTGATTTCTCTTTACTTTATATATTTTGTTACGAATTCCCTCTTTGATTGCGTAAATGAGATTTTCTCTTAAATCATGAAGAGTAGTAATTTTGATCAATCATTCAAAAAAATCGCATTTCTTCACTGTTATCAGACTTTCAATTTGAAATATCTAATAAATATTGGAAATTAGTGGCATATTTCCGGTTCAAATTGTTTATGTGGAACATTTAAAATAACAATAACAGTGCTTAGACTTTTCGATATTTTTATGATCAAGAGTGCAATTGTCTGAAAATTAATTGAAATTATGAGGTATGAAATTAAAATGTTAGGCAAATTTTGAAAGTGCCAAAAACATCACTCTATTTTGAAAAACAAATAAATTGACAAACATCTTGAGTTAAAAGAAGTCGTTTATTGAATTAAATTCTCCCTTTTCCATGAAAAAATTAAAATTTAATTATAATGGAGAAATTTCTATAGGGAAGTCAATTTTAATAGCAGAACCAAAGAAAAAAAAACTGCAATAACCAATTATTTAATGAAGTGACGAAAGCAACAGTGGGCTATGAGAGTTGGGAAACTTCTCCGCTGAGATATTTCATTCAATTTATTACATTGAACGAATAAAACGAGTTTCCATGTTGGTTTTTTGCGAAGATAAATAAATAATGAAAGCAGTTTTTCGCATAGTACAGAAGAAAGTTTAAAAACAAAAGAAATGAATGAAATCCAGTTTTTTTAAGGAATAAGTCAAGAAAACAATTCGACAAATTAAATGAAATGTAGAGTAAATGAAGCAAAATATATATAATCTAATTTTTGTAAATTAATTATTTAATACATTTAATTTTTTTGGCAATACTTTTTGCGCTTCTTTATTAGAATAATATATCAATATTTCATCGAATTGTCTGAAATCAATATGATCGACCCTTATAGAGGACATGTTATTTTAAACTGTTCTTAGCTGAGCAATTTGTCGATAAATTAGAAAACATTTTATTTTTTTGGTTCATTTTATTAAGCAGTGCACTATAACTTAATGACAGTCTCATTATATGCGAATACTTTTCGAACAATTCGAACAATTAAAAATAAATGTTTAATTTATCTAATATGTAAAGCAAAATTTTTAAATCAATTTCTCTCTTCAGCTTCAGTTATTTAATTAGTAATTTGAGTGAAGAATTTATCAAACAAAACTGAGAATTTAATTTAAAATGAATATTGTAGAATAAAAATTCAAGTAAAACAAAAATCATTTCAGTAAATGCAATTTTCAATTTCAGTAAGTACAATTTTTTGATCTCCTTTAAAACAATGCAATTTTTTTGAATTAACATTTTCAAATAATTAGTATAACTTAAAAAAAATTTTCAGATACTGCAATGCCCGTATTGTGAAAAGAATGCAAATATGTAGATCTTTTCTCATTATGACTATTTTACTAAATATTATAATCAATACTGTCATTATTTAACTCTTCAGTATGATATTTTATTTTTTTTGGTTTTTTACCGAGAAAATTTTAATTAAAAGACATAGAAAATCGAGAGAAAAAAAACTAATTGAATTATCTGTAGCAAAAAATGAAGATTGTGTAAAGATCGGCCAAACGAAATTCAACTTTTTGAAAATGTCATTTTTCATATTTCTTTCCATAAATAATGACCCCTGAACCATTCCTTTTTTAGCTTCTTCATTCACTTAATTTTTAATAGCCTGATCTGCTAACCAAAGATTGTTATTACAAGCATCATTTTAAGGAATATGCATATATAAAGCGTGAAATGATGCGGTCATTGGGAGATCACTCAATTGCATTCGTAGCGGGCGGTACTTTGATCATTATCTATTCTTTTCTTTATGTGGTTATCAATATTCTTTTCTTGATTTTCAAAGAATGACCGAAATGGACGGTTTAGTCGTAACTGACGTATTTTGCTGACAAGAACTTGATAATGATAGGTAGAAAGTATTAAATTAACATATTGCTCATGCAATGAATAATGCGTTCTTTATTTAATTTTCTCATCTTACTTTTATCTAGAAGAAATGATTGGCCGTTAAAAATCCCTCCCATTTTGGGATAAATCAGAACTTACACGACTTATCCCAAGAAGTGGAAGACATGACGTAATGTAGTGTAGATCAATTTTCAAAGTTAAAATAATAATATATGAGGATGATAATTTCTGCAATAACTCCATTGATGTCCATGATTTTATCTAGTTTTGTTTTCTTCAAATATTGATATTTAAGTAAATAATTTTATTTTTTCGTAGTATTTCAGAGATGATTAGGATTCCCAAGCAAGAAAAAGTGGCGACTAGATCTCTTGAGCAGAAACAAGATCATAGAACTTCGAGAATTGCAGCGGAAGAAAAAAAAGGAGCTAATGAGTCTTCTGCTAATAGACGAACTGCTGAAACTTCAGATCAAAAACAAAAAAGAAGAACTGAAATTTTACAACAAAAACAAGAAAGAGTAAGTGAAATTGATAATCAAAAACGAAAAAAATCGGTAACGTTTCTGTTGCAAAAGCAAGAAGAGACAACTGATACTTCCGTAAAGAAGGAAGAGAAAATATCTGAAATTGTTGATCAGGAGAAAAAAGCAACTTCAATTTCTGTGCACAAAAAAAAGAAAAGAGGTGGAACTTTAAGGCAAAAGCATGAAAAAGAGGCTGTAACTCCTGAGCAAAAGCATAAAGCAACAATTGTAATACCGCTGCAGAGACAAGAAGGAGCATATGGAGCTCTTGTTCAGAAACAGGAAGTAATAACTGGAATTCTGATACGGAAGAAAAAAGAAATACCTACAACTTCGATGCAAAGGGAAGAAAGGACAATCGGTACTCCAGAGCAGAAACAAAAAAGAATAATTGAAACCTCAGCGCAGAAGCAAGAAAGAGCGACTGAAATCCTAGCGCAGAAACAAGAAATGATTGTGCAGGAACAAGGACGAACATCTATAGCTCATGCTCAGAAGCAGATACAAAAACAAAAAGAAATACCTACAACTCCGATACAGAAGCAGGGAAGTGCATCCAGTACTCCAGAGCAGAAACAAAAAAGAACAATTGGAACACCGGTACAGAAGCAAGAAGGAAGATCGATGCAGAAGCAAGAAGGAACGCCTGTGCAGAGGCAACAAGGAAAACATGAAGCTCTTGCTCAGAAGCAGGAAGTAATAACTGGAATTCTAGTACGGAAAAAAAAAGAAATACCTGCAACTCCGATACAGAGGCAAGGAAGTGCATCCAATACTCCAGAGCAGAAACAGAATAGAACAATTGGAACACCGGTACAGAAGCAAGAAGGAACGCTTGTGCAGAGGCAACAAGGAAAACATGAAGCTCTTGCTCAGAAGCAGGAAGTAATAACTGGAATTCTAGTACGGAAAAAAAAAGAAATACCTGCAACTCCGATACAGAGGCAAGGAAGTGCATCCAATACTCCAGAGCAGAAACAGAATAGAACAATTGGAACACCGGTACAGAAGCAA